AAAAAAAAAAAAAAAAAGCTGCTTGCATTGTGAATTCGGGGCTGCTCCTGTCCTGAAAACGGGGCAACCTCCAGCATGCCGGAAATAAAAACCTCTTGCTTGTGCATCGATCTCTGTGCCTCCTGGTCTTTGCGAGATGAGCCTTCCCATCAAGTTAAGATTCGTGCTTTTGGGCCGGTCTTACAAGTTGACCACTGAACAAGTATGTGTTGGCTGCATGAATAATAAATGTATTCTTAGGTTTTCATACTACTCTTCTGGAAGAGTTATATGGGAAGAGTCAGGGTCTTTCACTAAATCAAGAACTAAGGGCTTTTTACTCTTATGTGTATTCAAGTTTAGGTGACAGAAATGAAAATCACTATATATTCCATAGCTGTCTGTCTCAGAATATACAGGAATGTGCATCAGTTCTTAAGAATACCAAGAAGACTGAGTCATAGATTAATTGATTATTTTTTATATTATCTCATAGTCAGTAATTTCCTTATATATGTTAAGTATGTAAAAAAAAAATCCCAGTGAAATATAGATGAGGATTTTTCACTAACAAAATATAGGTAGACCTTGCTTTGCATGGTAGTGCAGGACAGTGAAAGTGACTGTGCAAGCTGAGATTGTGCCTGGTGATTTAAATAATGAATGGGAAAAATTATGTTTGTTTTGTGACCTTTGAAACTTTTTGTCAAAACATTAAACACTCCCTTAGTGTCAGTTATAAACTTACAAGGAAATAAAAAAACTTAAAACGAATATTTATTTGGTAAACTGAAATTTAAAACATTTAAAACATTAGAAACATTGAAAATTAAAGTGTTTTATTTCTTGGTAAAAAATGTTTTACAGGTGCTGGCTGGTTAGCTCAGTTGGTTAGAGGGCAGAGTTGATAACATCAAGTTCAAGGGTTTGGATCCCCATATGGCCAGCTGCCAAAAAAAAAAAAAAAAAAGAAAATGCATCCAGAGAAGTTTAAAGAGTGCTTGCCTGCTTGCGCTAGCCTTCTTCTTGTGTAATATTACAGTGTATACCTCACAATATGGAGCCAACGAGCATTTTTCCTATGTGCTGGTGAATTGTCATCCTCCTTTCTAAACTTGGATCAGCTTCCAACATTTTTCCTTTTGCGCTTTCATTATTGTGAAATGACTTTAATAAGAGTTCCTTTAATGTGCAGTGTTTTGCTGACGCCACTTCCTCTGAGACGTCTTTGTGTGCTGGTGAATTGTCATCCTCCTTTCTAAACTTGGATCAGCTTCCAACATTTTTCCTTTTGCGCTTTCATTATTGTGAAATGACTCTAATAAGAGTTCCTTTAATGTGCAGTGTTTTGCTGACGCCACTTCCTCTGAGACGTCTTTGTCCTCTTCATCACAAGCACATTCCTCATTTATGGTGGTAAGTTTGCTTTCACTAAGTTCTCTGGATGCATATCTTGATCTCTGAATGGTAGCAGTGCCCACATCCCCATGGTCAGGTACTTCTACAAATCCTTTATGTCTGGTTTGAATTTCACTTCCATTGTTATTTTTCATTTCTTTGCTGTACTTTCATTGTTGCCGGCCCATTCTCTTTTTCAATTATGCTTTTTTCAGGGGGTGGCTGGCTGGTCCGGGGATCTGAACCCTTGACCTTCGTGATATAACACTGCACTCTAACCAACCGAGCTAACCGGCCAGCCCCCAATTATGCAGTTTTATAAAATGTCACATGGGTTTATTTCAGGGAGACAAGGAAGCAACACTCCACACTTTCTTTGTGTGTGAGCTGAATAGCAGATGGTCAGGGACCATTCAGCAACAGACTGAAAGTAGCATCGTGATTAGTCACTGAGCACAGCACACATCTGCTAATCACTGAATGATTTACAGACTAAAGACAGAGAAGTGCAGTTTGTATGCTATTACTCACAGGTAGATACACTGTGGTAGTTGAAATTGGAACCATGTTTTGAGGGTCTGGTACTATTTAACAAAACTGTCTTAACTGAAATTTGTACATATCAGAACAGGGCAAAGTGAGAAACACTTGTATACACATTGGAGATTTGCTAAAATGTAATCAACTGTCTTGAAGAATTCAGGATAACAGGAATCTTAGGTCCCATCTAAGAGGCTGAAGTTTTCTCTTACAACATGATTCACAGACAACATAGTACTCAGGATTGAACCAAGAGAAAAACATCACAGGTAAGAGCCACTGTATCTTAGCAAAATGATGTTAGAGAACAAGTTGTATACTTTAAATGTAGTTATTTGTTGTTGTATAAGTCTTATACTTTAAACCAAATAAAGAAGTCACGTTGAGACAAACAAAGCTACTCAACCTTCCTGTCCTGCCCTTCTATTAACAATTAAACACATCCTGAGAAGGTGCCAAAGGAAAAGTTGTCAGGTCCCCAGGCTGAATCCACGGCCTGAATCCACAGGCCTTTTCCTTTGACTATTTTAAAACTGCCTTGGAAGGTCAAAGATAAAAGGTGAACTACTAAGTATTTTCCTCTAAAACTTTTCTTTTGTTAAATGGTAATTGAGCTAGAAGAGCTAGAAATGTCTTTGTATATCTTCCTTCCCAGTTTATTCTGAACTCAGGATCTCCAAGTGAGAGCCAACTTGAAGAGTTGTCAAAACAAATGACGGAGATGAAACCAGCGGCTCAGTTCTCCAGAATCAAAAAGATCACTGAGAATTTAATTCCAGGGCATGAAAGAATTCCCAGAATTTAAGTGCAAGCTAGCAGTATATCCATTAAGCCTCCAAGATAGAGAATATTTAAATTATTCCTGAATTATAGCCAACCTACTCTTTATTTTAAACAATTTCAATGGATCTATGTTTTGGAAATCTGCCTGAAACAATACTTATATTATGTGGGAAATAAAACAATTCTGAGAATTAGGGTTTGTCCTACCTTTCTGATAAGATCTGAGAGTTCCATTTCAGCTTTCTGCTGTGCCAAATCAGATTTCACTTCAGAGTAGGTGTCATTGATGATGGCCAAAAACATATTCTGTTTGTAAACCAAAGGAAAGTACAGATTAAAGAAAAAAAATTAAATATATTTTGTAAACATCAATCAAAATATTGACACGTACCTTTTTGTTCACCTTTTCCCCCCAATCTGAGTGCTTTATGAAGTCATAAATTAATACTTTAGGGAAAATTATTTTCTACCTTCTTTGGGAAAACTATTTTCTATATTATATCATACTAAAGTAAAATATAATTTATATTCTTACTTACAAAACCACACATTGTGATACATTTTGCAAAAGGAGACAAGAATGCTATACAACAAAATACTAATGTATTTACCTACGAATGGTGGGATTATTTTATTATTTTTGCTTATCTAAGTTCTCTACATTTAAAAAATCTTACATATATTGCTATGGATATGGAACGCTAAAAAGCTCTTCAAATCAAAGTCAACAAAGACAAATAGAATTCTATGCTTACTTCAACTTTTATATAAGCATTTTTGAGATTTACAGAACATATTCTAAAGAGTTTAAAAGACCTCTGCAAATAGGAACACAGTAGGCCTAGTAGGAAGATGGTAAAGAAAAGCTTTGCAGAAAAGATGTAAACTTGGAGTCAAGCAAGCTTGGGTTTCAGTCTTGGTACTGTCAAGACTATGCTGTTTAACTTCTCTAAGCCTCACTTTGAAGATTTATTTATTTATTTGTTTTGCATTTATAAAATGGGGAGAATAATAGTACCTGTCTTACAGATTTGTTGTGAGGGTTAATGAGATCATCTATATGTAAAGTGCTCAGGGCAGGTCCTAATGTAGGGTAAGTGGTACAAAATCTATAGCTATTATTATTCAGTAATGGTCAGTTCATTTTCCTGACTTCTTCCTTCCCCAGTAGTAATGATTTGTATTTCCAACATCTGTTTCCAAAAGACTTTCTTGAAGTGCTGCACACAATAGATCAGGTCCCCCTTTTGCATACTCTCTGTTGCTTTTCCTTTTTATCACATACCTGTGGTTTGTAAACTAGAGTTGTGTATTTGATTACATCTGTTTTCCCCACAGGTCTGTGGGATTTTCACAGGGTGAGGCCAGTCCCCGCTTTCCTTATCATTTCTCAGTACCTAACACACTGCCTCATAGTGTATGAGGGTAATTCAAAAAGTTCATGGAAAAATAGAATTAAAAGATAATACGAATCTTTCCATGAACTTTCTGAAGACCCCTCATATGATACATGTGAAACATTAGTGTATATTATTCACTGTATGTAATATACTCACATATATAAGAATACAGTAAAATGGCTCAGTAAATATTTATTAAATGATTGATGAGTGAACAAATGAGGGTTCTCTTATTTTAATGGGCCACTAAATCCCTATCAATTTAGGAAGAAGATTGTTTAAAATTCTGTAGCAGAAACGAGGATAGAATTCGTGTAACTTCCTGGCTAAACTCTCAATTCCAAGGGCAGATAAATGCAGTCGGAATAACATCTTTCACCTTCTCTCTCCCAACCCAGGCCTCTAATGTTGTTTTTGCTTCCAAATGGCTGTTAACTAATGCCTGTGAACGACTTAGTTGAAATGGATTAAATTGAGGATCTTTTGAGGAAATTCTGAAAAATAGAAAGTGGCTGAGAAAGGCTCTTGAGGGTGTGGGGACAGGAAGGTGCCCCTCCCCCTCTCCATCCTGTCCCACAAGGTTCACTTAATTGTCAGAGGGACGTCTGCACTGGGAGGTCTTTCCCTTTGATGGGGGGTGTGGGTGGGGGGCTTCCTGGCTCAGCTGAGCCACTTCACACCACTGTGACTTCCTGTTAAACAGGGCAATAAATTTAACATCAGGCAATCAGCTCAGAAAAGCGGCCAACCCTACACTCAGTTTGTTATTTTCTTAAAAGACAGGTTTGTATGGAAAGTAGCCTTCTATCTATGTGTCTGTCCCTCTGTCTATCCATCTCTAGGGGGGTAGAAGGAGGACAATTCCTTTTTGCACAGTAGTATAAAAAATTATTTCGGCATAAAGACAAAAACTAAGAGTGTCTTTTCATGTTTTGGTGTTTGATCTGATAAAATGACTAATCTAAAGGTGCTGCCTACTAAAGGACAACATTCCAATGAGTCCACATTTGAGCATTTCTGATTGCCACAACTATACTGCCAATCAGTATATCTGATTGCAGATTGATATACTAAGAAAACTAGGTGGCCTGAGGTCAATTGAAGTGTCAGCTATAGAACTCTCAATTCCTAGTTTTTGCTTTCTTAGTAGAGATTCAGGTACGTCAGAATCCAAAGTATTACCGATGTGACGGCATAACAGGCTATTCTTCCCTCTAGTTTTTTCTTTTATATATGAGAGGAAGAAGAAGCTTAAGATGCTTAAGTTGAAAACTAGCCATGATACACGCATACAGCAAGATACAAATAGACTTGCATGATACTCCTGACCCTTTCAGTCCTATTAAAGTATAACTAAGACTCCATCTGGAAAAACCATACACTTACCCAGTAACACCTGGACCAACTTTGGAGTTATTACACTGAATTACCCAAAATGTGATCACTTAACCTTTTACTAAGGAACTTCACAAAATTTATTTAAAATGGAAACAATTTTTTATTTTCTTAAGATGATTGTTTATGTAAGGTAAGTCTTCGCTTACCGTTACCAAAAGGCTGTGAAGTGATAAGTTTTACATGTTAGTATTTAGATGAAAAATACCCATTGCTTAAGTTAAGCTTACTTGATTTAATACTTTCTCCGTGGACAAATGAATGCACAAATGTTAAGACAAAAACAAAACACTTTTAAAAAATCTTAATTAACTTAAGTCAAAAATGTTAAAAATGTTAATTTATACCAAATCAAGAGAATAAAAAAAAAATTTTGAAAATAATTTTTATTTTTTTTATTTTTTTTTATTTTTATTTTTTTTTTTTTTAAAAAGATGACCGGTAAGGGGATCTTAACCCTTGACTTGGTGTTGTCAGCACCACGCTCAGCCAGTGAGCGAACCGGCCATCCCTATATGGGATCCGAACCCGGGGCCTTGGTGTTATCAGCACCGCACTCTCCCGAGTGAGCCACGGGCCGGCCCAATAGTGTGGTATTTTGTAATTGACAAAGAGAGTCAGAATTTGATTTAGGCCTGCAAGGGAGTCAGTGGAGTAAGTTTATCTTTGTGGCAGGCTGTATTATTAGCTGAAGTATCACATGTTTCAGATATAAGAAAAAATATTATCCTTTTTTATTCTTTACTAATATTCACAAACTTAGTCATCTTTCAGTCTACAGGTCTTCATGGATGACTGTAACCATACTTATTTTGTTTATGGAGAATTTGAAGTTAACTAAAAAGATATATAGTTTTTTAGAAGTTCAGCTTTCAAAAATAACTTAATATTCCCCATCTAAAAGTCTACCAGGCTCCTCCTGATCCCAATCTACTTATAGTTCAGAAAGTATCATTCTATAAAATCCACATACAAATTACACAATTTTTGACGACAACTCTGCACTCTTGTAGCAGTAGGAAGATTATGGGTTGAAAGGAGTACTCTGAGGGAAAATGTATATTATTTTTGTGGAGTATTTGAGGAATTTATCCCTTTCTTGTGCTGTACTTATGAGATTGGTCGGAAGGCCAAGCCTTTTCTGTATTCCTTCTCTCTTCATTGTCTTGGTCTTTTGGGCTGTGGCTCATGTCTTGGGTTGGTGTTTAGGAAGACCTTGGTACTTTTATTTAGTGGGATAAAATGATTCATCAGGTTGCTCATCATTTTGCCCTTAAGCAAAAAATGGTGCCAATCTGTTGAAATGAGTGTATTTTGAGTAGGATTTAGGTTCCCCCTTAGAAAATTACTCGAAGAGCAAAATAGATGGCAACAATATTCAACAAGAATAAAAATGTAGGAAAGTGGTCTTTCACAGCTACCACCGGCATTTGGTGCTAAGATGATCTCGGTCTTTAAAACAGTGTTGGTTTACTATGGCTGTTTTACTATATATACCTACTTTAGGGCTGCTATCTTTTTTTTTTTTTAAAGATGACTGGTAAGGGGATCTTAACCCTTGACTTGGTGTTGTCAGCACCATGCTCACCCAATGAGTGAACCGGCCATCCCTATTTGGGATCCGAACCCGGGGCCTTGGTGTTATCAGCACCGCATTCTCCCGAGTGAGCCACGGGCCAGCCCCAAGGGCTGCTATCTTAAATATTAGCATTTCAGGATACATTGTCTTCTTTGCATTGGTGGGTCAATGCTTCTGGAAGAGGTAATTAATTCTTATTTTAAATAACTATTTTGAAACACTTGGTGGTCAAATAGCAACCACAAGGATTTCTTTATCTTCAAGAAGGCAGTGACAATCCTTATTAAACGTTTCTTTTTAATTTCATGATACTTACATACACTCTTGGAAGGTACTGAAGTCATCAACCTGAGTGCCAAAGACAAGGTATGCCAACTGAGCATATGCTAAGAAAATAATGAAGAACATAATAGCAAAGCCAAAGAGGTCTTTGGCACACCGAGACATGGTTGTGGACAGCTGGCTCATGGTCCTGTTAAAGTTGATGAATTTGAAGAGCTATAAAAAAGAGAAGGAAGACATCAACAGATGAATGGATGCGGGGAAAACAGGATAATTTAGTCAGGCTCCCTCGCTCAGGTCTGGTTGGGGGTCAAGCAGCACACTTCTTGTAAACAAGTTGTGTGTGGGTGGAGTTAGTGCACATGTGCACCAATGTATCTTTTGAGTTTTGTTGCTATTGTGTGTTCTTGAGTTTGTGAAGCAGAGCTGGCCGGCAGAGATTGAGTCTAAAAATAGAGTATGTTTACTCTGCTGGCAGCTGCTCAGTTCTTCTTTGGACTTTGCCAGTAGCAGTTGAGTTTCTGAGTTTCTCCTTTGTACTGCCTAGGTCCTAGACGTGTGTGTGCTGAATAAAGACTATTCCTTCTTCAGCCAAGGCCCCAACGACCTTTATGCTGGTTACCTAGCTCATAGACCTGCATGTGAAGGGTTGTGAACGGGCTCGAGGGGTCTGCGAGCTCCAGACCCTAGCCCTAGCTCTACAATGGATAAACAAAATATGGTATATGCAGATGATGGAATATTATTCAGCTCTAAAAAAGAATGAAATTCTAAAACTTGCTACAACGTAGATGAACTATGAAAACATTATGCTAAGTGAAATAAGCTTGACACAAAAGGATAAATACTGTATGATTCCACTTACATAAGGTACTTAAACTAGTCAAATTCATAGAGACAGAAAGTAGAATGGAGGTTACCAGGGCTGGAGGGGGGGTAGAATGGGAAGTCAGTGTTTAATGGATACAGAGTTTCAGTTTAGAAAGATGAGAAAGTTCTGGAAATGCATAGTAGTGCTGCTTGCACAACACTGTAAATGTATTTAATGCCACTGAATTGTACATTTAAAAATGGTTAAAATGGTTTTATGTTATGTATATGTTTTATGTTATGCATGTATACCAAAAAAAAGAGGAGAGAAATTGCTTTATTTTTCAAACCCAGCAACTTCTGTTCTCTCATTCAAAAAGTATTTGTTGAGTGTCTACCACGTGCCAGGCACTGTTCTCAGAGCTGCGAATGGAGCAGTGAACAGAACAAAGCTTCTGCCCTCATGGTGCCTACATTTTACATGACCAAAATATAGTGAAAAGAGGTTTAATTATAATTAAAGTGACTAGTGATATTCCACCCTTCCCCCTGCCAAAAGATTATAATAAAAGAGAGGGAAAAAAAAAAACCGTTTAAAATAAAAACTAATAAAGGGCCGGCCCATGGCTCACTCGGGAGAGTGCGGTGCTGATAACACTAAGGCCCCGGGTTCGGATCCCATATAGGGATGGCCGGTTCGCTCACTGGCTGAGCGTGGTGCTGACAACACCAAATCAAGGGTTAAGATCCCCTTACCGGTCATCTTTTTAATAAAAAAATAAAAAAATAAAAAATAAAAATAAATAAATAAAAACTAATAAATAACAGAAAATACTTGTACATTTTATTAATCATCATTTATTGTGCACCAGCTTTGTGGGGAGGCTTTATTTACACTGCTGTGACTCTCCGCAGTGACTGAAAGGCTGGTATTCTATCCCCCACTGTCAGTAGGAGCCAGGAGTTGAAGCCAGCTCTGCCTGACTGCAAAGCCATATCGAGCATTTTTGTAGGTGAGGTGTGAGGATGCCTGCCCAGGTTGTGCAGTTCACAGCCCAGAGGGCATGACAACCAAGACAGCTCCAGGAAGAAGCCTTGGCAGAAGAGCACGTGGGAGGATATGAGAGTTGAGTCACAATCCCTGCCTTAAAGAACTTAGTGGTAAAGTTCTGAGGGCAAGAGATTTCCAAGTGAAGCACTAAATAAAACCCAACAACCTGAGGCACATGCTGAAAGGAAATCTCTAGAATTTTACTTATGGGTCTCTTATAAATTGTTTCTGGCCACATGAAAAATTTTTTTTTTTTTTCCTTTTTGTCTTTTTTCGTGACCGGCAACGGATTGCAACCCTCAAGTGTCGCGCCCGGAACCGGACCGGGACTGGCTACGGGATCGCAACCCTCGGTGTTGCTCCCGCACCTCGCTCAGCCAGTGAGCGGCCAGTCTGTATGTGGGATCCAAACCCTCAGCGGGAGCGCCACCGCGCTTCCCAAGCGACACACTGTAGCAGTGCGCCACCGGGCCGGCCCCACATGAAAAAATTTTTTGAGGACTGTTGTAAACGCACTGTAGCAGTGCGCCACCGGGCCGGCCCCACATGAAAAAATTTTTTGAGGACTGTTGTAATCACATTACTTAATACAATTCCTATTCATTTGAGATCTTGATTATTCTTACTATTGTATGATAAAGGTTTGGTGCTTTAGTGATGGTTTCTCCTGTACAAGCATGTAACTGAATAAAGAGTATGAGAGATGAGCTGAGGTCTGTGCCCTTTGATAAACCTCAGGCCTTCAGGTGTGAACACCAGTTCAGGAACTGTTGGTGAGTACCTTTTAGAAAACTGCTGTTCAAGAGAACTTTCTGTGATGATGGAAATGGTCTGTATTTCTATTGTCCAATACTGTAACCACTATCCACACATAGACACTGAGCACTTAAAACATGGCTAGTGGGACTGAAAAACTGAATTTTTAATTGTATTTAATCTTAATTAATTTAAATTTAAATAGCCACGTGTGAACAGTAGCTACTGTCTGACAGCACAATCATAGAGCCTGAGCTGGTGACAGATTGGCAGCTGCCTCAGAATGACTGAAATGTCCTGCATCTCCAGAATTGAGGCTCATTGTATATAAATGCCCTAACCTTTCACATACATAGAAATGCACATTGTGCCTTGGGAGAAGAAGGAAGTGAATGAGTAAAGAACTACTCAGAAGAGGTGTCTGTTCCAACCTCAGTTCTAGGTAAAGCTTCCCTATGGCCTCCACCTGGAAAAGAGGCACTCCTTCTAGCAAGCATTTCCAAGTGCAGCATCTTTCCCTTCCCTTCTCCCAATCCTTCCCTCTCTTTTTCTTAGTTCCTTTTCCTTCACCTGGTCACTCCATATCAGGTGAAACTAGGACTTGTCCCTGTGCCAGAACAGATGAGGACCCAGGTTCAGCTGATGTACTGAAAAGGCCTCTTATTGCATTTGTTAAATGAAACCTACAGGGACAGGTCTTGCAAGAATGCAGGTAGCAGAAGTAGCATCGTTCACAGTGAGAAGAATGATCACGAGTCCCCTTAGTTTACATGTAAAATATAGAGTAGCTCTGGCTGTATGCCTGAATTTGGCCACAAAGGCAAATTCAAGTCCTACAACATTTTGTGTGATTTGTGTTAATAAAAAGAAAGAAAGATCCTATGGATTGCATGTACCCCCAAACTCACTGAAGCTTAATCCCCACTGACAGTGTTAAGAGGGTGGGAAATGCTATTATGGTAGATGAAAGGTGAGGCCTTGAAGAGGTGATTAGATCTGAGCATTGTGCTCTAATAAATGAATTAATCCATTGATGGTTTAATAGTAGTCATGGGTGTGGTTCTGAGGGCTTTAAAAGGAGCCAGTGAGGAGGTTAGTTTCTCTCTCTGCTTCATCATGTGACACCCCGCATTGCTGTAAAGCCACCATCAACAAGGCCCCCACCAGATGTGTTCCCTGGAATTTGGACTTCCTAGCCTCTGAAACTGAAAGCAATAAATATTGTTTATAAATTACCCCGTTTCGGGGATTTCTGTTATAAGCAACAGAAATGGACTAATACCAAAGATTATTAAAAATCCAGAACAAGAAATTTACAAATTACCTTAATCCAGACAAAAAATACTGTAACAGCAGCTATATTGTTGAACTGTATTTGCCAGTATGCCAGATGCTCAAAGTTGGGGAAAGTATTTTGATCTTCTAGAAACTGTAATAGTACGTCCACATTTGTTGTTCTGTATATGTTAATCCCGATAGCTACAACAGATAGCTGAAAAAAGAAAAGATTTATATTTCATTACAGTGTATATTTTAGAAATACATAACTTACCTGAAAATGACTAGTTTATTTCACCACTGTTAATTCTAGAGCTCACCATTATATTTTACCCAATGGCATTCATAAAAGCCACTCACTCAAATGGAAACGATTGAGCGCTGCCATAAAACAAGTAAAACAATATATTGCTTGCCATTTCCTTAGCTAGAAATGCAACGAGTGCACGTGTGCACATGTGCATGCACACACATATGTATATACACACGTGCATACACACGAGAGATGATGCTATAACAAACTTAAACAGGAATGCCTTCTGTTTTTTCTGCCACCTTCATTTAAATTACTTTCACACTTTTGTTTTCTTAGCCTCATCTTACTTTCTGTTTTTGTTTCTGGTTTTAATTTATTTTATTTTCTGGTTACTCTCCCTTCTCCGATTTCCAGCCATCCATTCTTTCCTCTGTTCGACAAATGCATGGTAGGGTCTATGTACTCAGCACTGTGCAAGGCGCTAAGAGGAATTAACAGAGGTAAACTGCATAAACTCTGCCCTCAAGAAACTTATGTGGTTTTAATTTATTTTATTTTCTGGTTACTCTTCCTTCTCCGATTTCCAGCCATCCATTCTTTCCTCTGTTCGACAAATGCATGGTAGGGTCTATGTACTCAGCACTGCGCAAGGCGCTAAGAGGAATTAACAGAGGTAAACTGCATAAACTCTGCCCTCAAGAAACTTATACTCTGGTTCAAGACCAGATAAACACACAGTTAAATAACAAAAAACTGCTAAAGAGTTGGCATCACGTAACATAAGGTGAAGGGTGAAACAAGATATACTAAAAAGGAATGTACATAAGAAGAAAGAATGAACTTAGTCTCAAAAGGTGGACAGAGAGGGCTCAGGAAGGCTTGTGTGACAATATGTGAGCCAAGGGTTTCCTTCTTGCTCATTTCTGTCCCTTAACTCATGACCACACAGCTTTTTACATCTGCTTTGGTTCTGGGCTATACGACCACAGCTGAGGGGACAATGGCCCCACGTGGCTTCCATCACCACTGGATTAACATGTATGTGTATGTAGACAGTGCTACAGGTTGACCCTAACAACTTTGCCCTCATCTGGGGTCTGAATCTGCAGTAGGTAGGCTGTGCAGGTGCTGTGACCTTCACTGTCCATTCTCTCTCTTCTCGTGGTTATAGCAAAGACCACTTCATTGCCCTTCTTGAGATGGCCGTCCAGACCATGGCCCCAAGTGGACCATAACAAAGACCTGCCTGGCTGCAAATCATAGCTAAAAAGCCAGCCTCACCATCTTCCTTTTCTTATCTGTGAAGGATTACCGGAGCCAATCTTGTATTTTTGTGCTGGTGGTAGGAATATTTTCTTGGAACTCTCTGGGATACACTGAAAATAATTTTCTACATGGACTTAGCTGAGAGGGATGAAGAAGCTGGACTGGTTGACCGAATCCTACAATAATCCTTTGCCCAATTCTCACTAGGTATAATTTGTTATCCAGTCCAGTTGTTTTCACTTTGTACAGGACAGAAGTTTATAAAAATATGGAATATATGGTCACTTATATAACATCATATTAATACACTAAATTTCCTTGAGACTTTTCCTCCAAAGTAGGGAATGAGAGAAAAGAGATGAGGAAAGAGATTTTGTGAGCATTCAGGTTGTCACATCACACCTATTGTTCATTGGGATTCTCATCCCTATCTACAAAAGAACTTTCTCTCTGTACCAGAACATAAGCTTTATGAGGGCAGGGGTTTTGGTTGTTTTGTTCATTCCTATATCCCTTATATCCCCCATGCCTAGAACAGTGCCAGGTACACAGTAGGTGCTCAGAAAACATTTGTGGAATAAATGAGTTCATCATTTTGACCCTGTGAAACCTAGCAATCAATAAAACTATTTCGAGTTTAGACTTCTTAATAGTATTTTTTTCAGTAATTCTGCTCGTTTTGAAAGACTGTTGCTTACAGACACTGATGTAAGCCTGCAGACTTCAGAGAACTTGTTGGAGCAACAAAAAAGGAAAACACGGGAAATAATTTCTTTCTTTCTTTTTTTTTTTTAAAGATGACCGGTAAGGAGATCTTAACCCTTGACTTGGTATTAGCACCACGCTTTCCCAAGTGAGCGAACCGGCCATCCCTATATAGGGATCCGAACTTGTGGTCTTGGTGTTATTAGCACTGCACTCTCCCAAGTGAGCCACGCGCCGGTTCCTAGGAAATAATTTTACAGTGATTTCAAGATGTTGTTATATTTATGTTTAGAATATAATTGCTTTTCAGGTGAATTTAAATTTGGGCCAGATAAAACAAAAAGCCTTGGCTCTTTCCATAGGTTTGAAGGTTCAGAGGAGCGCAGGCACATTCGGGGGGTGAGCAGGAGGTATGCCCGTACTTCCACTTGGTCAAAGAACATCTTATAGGAGAAGTGAGATTCCAGTAGCCCTTCCTTTTTCTTTACAAAAACACACTGTCTGAATTGTTGTTGTCTTGGCAGTAAGTACTAAGAGTTAAAAAAAACAAAATAAAAAGCACAGTGAAGCAATTTTTCAAAGAAATACTGGCAAAATGCTGTGGCTGCTGAGCCAAAGAAACTATTCTCAATTTCCATGATATCATCGGCTGTTTTCCCAGTGGTCTCCAAAGTGGGTACAAGGCAATTTATGGGTGTGTGGGAAGAAAATCTTAAAAATTCGAGGTGGGTGGTAAGAAAGTATTAGAATACTATTCGTATTTATTCTTATCACAATCTTTTAAATTCAATGTATGTCTATATTTTTATAGATGTACCTGTTATACCAATGCATACACACCCAACTTATAAATAAATAAATACATTCCATTAGGGTGTGTAGTCAAAGTTTTCACTGATAGGTGTACATGATTAAGAAAGTTGAATGCCACTGACTAGTCTTTTGTTGATATTGAAGTTGTTTGGTAAAAAAAAAGTTCTGTTATTAACTAGTATAATATCACACTCTCATAATATCACGCTTTTTACCATTATTTTCAGTGACCAAAATATAAATAAATCCACACAAACCAAAAAGCAGGGTTTGCATCCTTAGGGTTCCAAACAATAATTGTTTTCTAGAAAAATTTTCAATGTATATGAATTGCACTCTGCCATCACTCAGTACATAAATACTTTGCAAAATGATTTCCAGTATTATTGCCTCTCTTGCCTCCTTAAATAGTGAAATTCTTTTGTAACTATGCTCATTATTAATACATTGAGAATTTGGGGATCAAGTGTTTACCCTGAATTGTGTAATGTTACATTGGAGGAAAATGAAGGAGAACACATGTTAAAGATGGAGGGACTCTTGCTTTCCAGGATTTAGACTGTATCAGCAGAAATGCAAATAGACTGGGTCAGCAAAAATTTGCAAAGCTTAACCGCAAACCACAGACTTCCTATTGAGTTACCTAGGAGACAGGGAGGTGTGGGAGAGGCTTACAGCTGGCTAAAACATATATAATACATACTTGGAAGACAATAAATTTGCTCAGTGCATGCCCAGAACTTTGTGTCTGGTTCCTGGTTGTCCACCTCCCTTGGCGACT